GCACACACACACACACACACACACACACACACACACACACACACACACACACACACACACACACACACTCAGTACCCAGCAGACTGAGTAAGTGGCTCATGCTGTACATTAGAATACACCGCCAACAGTAACAGAACTCTTCGTCATAAAAATTATATTAGAATATAGTAACTACCCACTGTTAAGTCACCTCAAGTTTTGCTTTAAAAATTTGTGTTTAAAAATCTCCGAGCTGCAAAAAGACATTTCAGCCATGGGTACAAATCTATAAAGCACATGCGATCTGCACCAATACAAATGGAGACTGAGGTCACACAAGCCCCAGGAATCACAACTAGCAGACTAAAAAAAGACCCAACAAATTCTAACCACTTTGCCACTTCACACAGAGAGCCACAAATATACATACACGCTGTCGTACCGACACGAAACAGCATTCCTGTAAATTACACAAAACTGTCAAAATACTGACTGTCAATCCCCACCTAGCAGCAAGAGCAAATATAGACAAGTAATCTCTCGCAGACGAACGACACGCAAGCATGATGAAATCCTATACAGAGAGAAACGTATGGTCATAGACAAACAACAATGTTGTATTCAGTAGAGCAGCTTGTGCCTTTTTAGAGTTCAGACATGAATTGTAAATTGCCGAACATGTTCATAAGACGTCATCGTCATCATTATCATCAAAGAACAGCACCATGTGGCAACCACACACAACTAGAAGCACTCTCCTCCTTCTCCAGCCACATGCTTGTTGTTGCCACGGCAACGGATATAGGCAAAGACCACCGGTGTGTTGATAAGATGAACAACTAGGAGCAACACTGGAGGTAAAAAAAACTGAAACAAAAAGGCCAGTACCGGTAGGAGTCAAACAAAGGGTGTCGCCCCACACAACTGACCCTGGCACACACGTGTCTCCGCGAGACACCTCCTGATTGCCCAGAGCTCAGGGTGACAAGTGTTGGGGACAAGGAAGGAAAACGCGGGACCAGCACTTAGGCTCTCCACACATGATGCATTCATTTCCTCCCTACCTGCTCCACAAGGGGGACAAGTTTAATGTCAAGCCCTCATACATAATAGAATCAAGTGTTCGTTCAGATAACAGAACACAATTTTTTTTCCCCTGTTGCTTTCAAAACATCTTAGGACTGGACGAAGCATGCAACAGATGCTAAAAATCTATCCAGCCCTTCTTCACCCTTCTGTAGTCAAGTCCCATGCTTTTAAACATACAACATTCATTTCTCAAACTCTTTAAGAAATAGTCACTAAACCGATCTGTTCCATTTTCAAAGAATACATCAAATGCATGCCCAACATACAATATCATAGGACAACTTTTCACATACATGGAAACAGGGCGCTAAATCCTTACTTCGAAACAAAACATATTTTTCCAGGATCATGGCCCTTTGGATGCAGAACAGCTCTCTCCAAAAATCACAAAGTTTTTTTCTGTAAACTACTGAGAGTCCTCGACGAGTTTCACTTCACATACACATGTTGTTAAAGACAACGTCATAATTTGTTTATACAATAAAATATGTCTTTACATTCTTAGATCTAGTACAAAAAGAATGAGATGACCTCGTCAGTTTTCCAGATGTGAGGTCAACATTCTCAAAAAGGAAAAGAAAACAGATTTGACAAACAATTTCTGAGGCTGTGCTTTTGGAGACCAAAACCCTTTCTCTCATCCCCTCCCCCACTCATGTCATGTGGCTACAGGCAAAAAGGGGGAATAAACTTGGGAAAAACCTAGCAGAGACAATACCCAGCTTCCCTTTCCAGTATTTAAATATGCAATAACAAAGTGACATAGTTTCTCCAGGGTAATCAGGGACTCCAATATCCGCTGTGTTCATCATCCTGCACAAACTCTGTAGTAGGGGGGCAATGGATCTGGGTGCTGGGGCAAAACAGAAGACCATGAAGAAACTCCAAAATATTCTCCAATGTTGCTGTAAAGGCATACCCAGGATAATGACCACTCTAATGTTCCAGTACTTCTTTGTTTACGAAACAGCGCCAAACAATTTCAGGTAATGATAATTGATATCAACACCAAACAAAATAAAACTTTTTTTATATAAACATAATGTACACAGAACACTTGGGAGAAAACTAATAGTAGGTCTCCCACCCAAAGTCAGCATAAAGGCAAAAAATAAACATAACTCAGAAATGTAATCCTGGGAAGCTGAAAGTTTGTTTTCTTCTTCTTCGTCTTCTTCTTCTTCTTGTGATCACACTAGGCAGCATGTGAGTTGCTCTGGCACTGACGGGCAGAGAGGGGAGAGGAAATCTGGCGGGCGGTTGTCACCTGTCACCGCAGATCTTCAGCTGATATATATCATGTGACCCACTGGAGCACGAAAAGGGTGTATCCGCACTGATGGACGAAACGTGGTTGTTCAAAGCACAAATGAACCAACAGAAATTCCCACTGCTTTTGCTTTTAACCTATTTGTTCAACTGACTCGAACAGACAGACATTCCTATCGTTATATTAAACATATATATATAATTGTCCAAGAGTCACAGTGTAGTAATCCAGTGTGCAGTTTCCATCAATCCCGTGCACCCTAACACCTTAGACGGGTGTGCACATTCGATGGCACAGAGAAATATCTGATGAATTTCACGGATGACAAATTAATGGTCATTCAGTTTCCCTCTTCTTTTTTTTTTTTTTCTTGAAACGTGTTGCCACTGACTGAAACTGTTGTGCACACAAAGCTGTCCTAAGCTGTCACGGGAGAGGAGTTGGCATAGGGCTTCCGTCCTCAGAACAATCACCATTCTCTTCACACACAATCTTTTAGAATATAATACAAAGGTAAAACAAAATCGTGTCCACCCCCACGTTGTTGTTGTTGTTGCTGTTGTTGTTGCTGTTGCTGTTTCACGTCTGTCTTCTCCGGCGTACATCCACAGACAAGCTCCTCCCAGTCAGTGAGTCAGTTGTAGTGGACGGCGGTCATCCAGTGTGTGTGTGTGAGTGTGTATGTGTGTGTCTGTGTTTGAGTGTGCATGTGGATGTGTTTGTGTGTGTATGTGTGTGTGTGTGTGTGTATGTGTGTGTCTGTGTTTTTTTAGAGTGTGTGCCTGCATGTGTATGAGTGTGTGAACGAGTCTGTGAGGGTGTCTGTATACACACGTAAGTTTGTGAATGTGTGTGCGTCTCTGAGTGAGTATGTATTCATACATGTGTGTGTGTGCATTTAAGTGTATGTACTATGTTTGTGTGCATTTCTGAGTGGAGTGTGCATGGGTGTTTGTATGTATGTGATTGTGAGTGGAGTGTGCATGGGTGTTTGTACGTGTGTGCGTGTTTGTGAGTGGAGTGTGCATGGGTGTCTGTACATATAAATGTATGTGTACGTGAGTGTGTATATATATATATATATATGTCTGTATGTATGCGCGTGAGCCCCTCACGACATGGAGGAGCAGGGCAGGCCGGGTGAGCCCATCTGTGTGAGCACACGGTCCAGCCACTGTAGCGGGCCGTTCAGGTGGATCTCTATCCAGCTGGGCGTGCTCGTCACCGTCTGACGTCTGTGACAACATGCAAGAGAAACAAACAAACCACGCAATGAATTTTGTTTTGTTTGTTTTAGAAGAGGTTTTACAGCGCTCGCAACTGCATAAGGTCATATGAGTGCCAGAAGATTAGAGGTGTTACAAGAGAGTAACAAACATAAAAAAAGAAGGAGGGAAGATAAAAGACGATAGATGTTTGATAGGAAAGAAGAAGCAAACCACACCAGAGCACCCGCCAACCACCCACCACAAGGAATCTATGCAAGAGAAACAAACACACCACGCAATGAAACATGGTGTCAAACAATTGACCAACAAAATCACTAAAATCAACGTAAAACTGAAAACACTCAAAAAAGACCGTAAACTTTCGCAAAAGGATGAACCAGAAACAAAACAATATAAACTGACAGAAGAAAACATATAATGTGAAACAACAAAAAACAACAATATTAATTCCACACAGGAATAAAACAAGACAACTAAAAGCAACCCAACAAAACTAGTAGAAAAAGGTAACGAAAAAACCCAACACAAATTAACCCACAAAACCAGCATAGCCAAAAGAAGCTCAGAAGTATGAAAATAAGTACAAGATAAAATTACCTAAAATACGCTTAAGCAAGCAATCATAGCGAATTTGAATAACGTCGACATTCACCGAAAAGATAAAAGACATTCAGTGCAGGACACAAAAAGAAAAAAAAACAAACAGCCAGACAAAATAACAGAGGAAAACTTTGTCATTCTCTCTTTATAAAAAAAATCAAACAAACGAAGATTTTTTATCCAACAACAAAACAACCAGAAAACAACTTTGTTGAATAGGGGTAAAAAGAAAAAAAGTTGAATGAGCATCAAATCCAATTGAAGCCTCCTCACCTGTACTCAGCACCCCATCCTTTGACGAAGCTCATGCGGATCGTGCACATGCGGGTCAGCTGATACACCGACTCGAACCCTTGATTCACCGACTGGGCCAGCAGGGCAGCAAACTCTTGATTGTTGAAAATTTTTAAGTTGCAGCCTGAAGAGAACACACACAAACAGTGATGGTAAACATTTGGAATGTTCTCTATTTTTCTTCTCTTTTTCTTTTTTTTTTTTTTTTTTTGGGGGGGGGGGGGGGGTCTCACTTGCCCATTTCTATGAGATTGAGGCCATCTGATTTGTATAAAAAGGTTCTTATAGTAATGTCCAACAGTATATTACGGACAAAATTATCATAATATGTAACTGTTACAGACAGAGATTCAAAGAATACAGGTGTATGTCAGAGATCTGAGAGCAAAGATGATTTAAGATATAATATGATGTTGGTGGTGAGTGATGATGTGGTATGGTGTTTATGTTATGTTAGCTTTTCTTCCTCTGCTCGAAAGAGTCACGAGGGTTGTGGGCACCCTCTATCCCGTTCACTACTGGAACAAATACCTTTTCTTAGTGTGCAAGTAGTTGGCGAGAAAGCAGTTAGATTTTAGCCAGGAACAGACCAGACAATAGCAACATGGTAGAGAACAAGAAGAAATAGACCGTAATAGCATCCATCCCCCACTGGTGAAAGCACAAAATGAGTGACAGCTGAACAAAAGTTGTAACATTGGCGACTAGATTGGGTAGCATTCCTGAGTAGACCAGAATAGAAACCACCACAAACTGGTAAAAGTAAGCTTTTAGTTTTAGTACAGGTTTTACGGCACTCACAACTGCATAAGGCCATATGAGCGCCAGAAGATTAGAGGTGTTGCAAGAGAGTAACAAACATAAAAAAGAAGAAGGGGAGATAAGGACGATAGATGTTTGATAGGAAAGAAGGAGCAAACCACACCAGAGCACCCGCCAACCACCCACATTGGTAAAAGCACTAAACCTGAGTAACAGTTGAAAGGAAGTCATAACATATACCGTGACTAGACTGGGTGACATTCCTATTTCACCAGATAAAAGTATGAAGTGATGAAATGAATTATATTACTTGGCACTTCGTAGAGGCATCATATCTGTAGTGGAGAACTAAGCCTACCACTCCCTGCTGCCTAAGGGTACCCGAAACTTACACATAGCGGCCATTCTCCAACTACGTGGCTTCCAGAAGAGAAATGGAAACGCACAACAAATCCAATCCAAAAGTTAGAGGAAAAACCTGTTCAGGGCATTTTCCAAATTTGGCAACTAAATGGTCATATTCTCCGCATGTCAACCCTTTTTTGGGTACCACTATTTACTATCCAATTATCCCAAATGAAATTTAATAAACAAATATTTAATAAATTATACACAACATGCCTGGAGAAACTTGACTGGGTACCAGTTAAGGGACCCGACCCCCCCACGGTTCTGAATAAAGATAACAATAATGAGAAATTTTATATAATTACTACATTTTCCACTCCCTTCCAATACAGCACTTGCCCGGTACCGTTTGTTGTTGTTCAGTAAGAGTTTTACAGCGCTCACAACTGCATAAAAAGGCGTTACCCGTGTGTGGATGTACTCACCAGGAGGAATTTTGCAGACTGTGGCAGGATGCCAGCCGTAGCGCTGGTTACAGTTGGGGCTCTGCACAAACACAGCGTTATCACTGAGACACTCCGCAAACACCTCGCCTCCGATGTAGTATAGGCGCACTCCGCGACCTGGGGAGCCCAACAGTAAACGTCCATCATCACCACGTCTGCTAGCTACTCAAGTAGATTGCTTATATAAAGGTGAACTCTAGTAGATAGCTTATATAACGGTAAACTCTAGTCGATAGCTTATATAACGGTAAACTCTAGTAAACTGCTTGTAAAGGTAAACTAGTAGATTGCTTATATAAAGGTAAAATCTAGTAGATAGCTTAAATAAAGGTAAACTCTAGTCGATAGCTTATATAACGGTAAACTCTAGTAAACTGCTTGTAAAGGTAAACTAGTAGATTGCTTATATAAAGGTAAATTCTAGTAAATTACTTGTAAGGCTTAAAAAGATGACTATATTTATGTAAATGGCAAATGGAACGTACAGTTGAACCTGCTTTAATGGCCACCTGTCCAATTACCTGTACAAACGACCACTACAACAAGAGGATAGAGAGTGACAGGACAGAGAGTGAAAGGACAAATGACAGAGTGTGGAGACAGAGGATAGAGTGAAAGAGCAGCACGACAAAAAAGAAAGAGTGATGAGACAGGATAAAGTGAGGAGACAGAGGACAGAGTGAGGAGACAGAGGACAGAGGGAGGAGACAGAGGACAGAGAGTGAGAGAATGGCAGGACAGACAAGAAAGGGTGATAGGACAGAGAACACTGAGTGACGAGAGAGAGAGAGAGAGAGAGAGAAAGAGAGAGAGAAAGAGAGAGAGAGAGAGAGAGAGAGAGAGAGAGAGAGAGAGAGAGAGAGAGACAGACAGACAGAGAGAGACAGAGAGAGACAGAGAGGAAGAGAGAAAGAGTGATAGGACAAAGGACAGAGAATGAGTGATGGGTCAGAAAAGGGGAGAGAAGTACGACATCTGATGACTGCCCCCTCCAAAACTCCTCCCGGCAGCCCCGACCCACCTATATGTCTGCGAGTCATCTCCACTTGCTGTGTTCTGTTGACGTTGGACAAAAGTCCCAGGCAGAAGCGCTCAGAGTTGCTGGGGTCGGTGAAGCCGTCCACCGTCAGCGAGGGCTGGGAGGCATGGAAGGTCTCCCCAACGCGACTGTTCAGTTCGTAGTAAGCGATAGAGCACCAGTACTCGGGCTCTTTGTACGTCACCGGTTGCAGCTCGGCATTGTTGTCTGAAAACAGCAGCAATAATATCCTAAATACCTTGTCTGAAAACAGCAATAGCAACATCATAAATATTTTGTCTGAAAACAGCAATAGCAACATCATAAATATTTTATCTAAAAATAGCAATAGCAACACCCTAAATACTTTTCCTGAAAATAGCATAGCAGCATCATAAATACCTTGTTTGAAAACAAAAGCAACACCAACACTACAAAATGTATTGCTTCAAATCAACAGCAAAAACCAACACTACACAAATTTATTGTTTCAAATCAACAGGAAAGCCAACATTGTACAATTTGTCTGGAAATACAGACTGCCATCATTGTCTCCCCTTTTACACACAAAAACACCAACATATCGTCACTGCACTAACGAAACGGAACATTTAAATTTTTTCTGCTTTTGAGATAAATGGAAAAAACTGTTTAACTAAACCATTTATCATCTAATAATGGTAAAACTTGCAATGTATATTCCTTTTGCGATAGCCAGTGCATTTATGTTTTGATTTTACCCAAAGCATCCTTCACTATCTAAACCCAATGAGATGTGCCAACAAGTGCAAATGAAGAAGTTCAATTTATTCTTCAAATAGAGGGGCTCTTAGGTAAATGTTTTATCATAATCTTTCACTTGAAATAGTAGGTATGATATTGATTCTAATCTTTCACCAAAAAAATAGTTAAATATTGATCCTACCCTTTCACTAAAACAGTACAATAATTATTGGTACTACTCTTTCGCTAAAAACAGCACAATATTCGCTTTTCTGTTGATGTCGACACCACTGCTGCTGCTATTTTTATCTCTTTCAAACAGAAGAGTGAACTATTTAACAAGAGCAAACACTGGTAGAACATACCTAGAGGAGGGCTGGGGGACATGTCGATGCCATCTGAGGAGGAGAAAAAACCAAGATCTAAGAAAAACAAAAAGACAAGTCGAATGATCTTTTCACAGCCTGTAAGAAATGTGGTGGTCACTCAAGTTAACTCTTGCCAAAATCTATTCTTGCTTTACTCGACACAATAAAATTAGCCAATCTTTCCCAATCTCCGTAACTCTCTCCAAATGCCTTTCTTTTCGTACTTGGCTAAATAAAATTAGCCAATCTTTCCCAATCTCCGAAAATCTAAAAGAAGCTTTTCTATTTTTACTCGGCTAAATAAAATTAGTCAATCTTTCCCAATCTTCTAAACTCCCTCCATAAGCTATTCTTTTTTTTTTACTTGATTGAGTAAAACTAGCCAATCTTTCTTAATCTCCTTAGCTCTCTCCTAAGGCTTTTGTTTTCTTTTTAACTTGACTAAAAAGAAATTAACATC